TATATATATATATATATATATATATATATATATATATATATACCACACACACACACACACATATATATATATATATATATATATATACGTGTGTGTGTATGTGTGTTTGTATGTGTGTGAACGTCGGCTCATATGCTTGAAGCACACAGGAAGTAAAATAACATACCTTTATCTTCCACCGGCATGCAGCGACCGTTACGAAGCGAATGCTCGAATGCGGAGCGTTACTACCGAGATAGATAGAGACGCTGAAGTAGATCTATACAGTCCACGCATGACGTGTGTAGATGTGAATGTGAACGTACCTACACAGCCACATGAACACGAAGTACAGGCAATGAATACTACAGGCTCTTTAAATGCAACTGAAAGCGCCGGAGGAGATACGAACAATGGGCGGCAAAGGGATGACCCTGCCAAGACATCCGTGCGAATACGAAGCGAGAGTTATCATGAGACGACAAGGGTTGCGTCTGGTAATGGAGCTGACTATATGCGCACGAATGGCGGACAAAAACACACAGGCACTGGTCATAGAGACGAACACGCACCCGCGGACGATATCAGAGGGCAGGCACAGGATGAGACGAATCTACGCCCCCGAGAAGCACAACATGGACACAGGGCCGCTGCCGCACCTGTGCTACGTCATGCACGGGCGAGCGATATGCAGGATACGGGACAGGCTCAGGCGGATGCAGCACACATACGCACACACACACACGTACACGTACACGAACACGAGACAGACCGATCCCTGATCCGAAGGCACCGGCGTGACAACAGCCAAACGGGCAATTTGGAGGATGTTAAGACAGACACTTTGGGTGTGGACACTCACACACCTACGCACACGGGCGGGTGTATCAGTGTCAGTGCGCGGGAGGGTGTGCTGTGGGTGAGCTGTGAGGGGTGGATGGAGGTGGATGGGGATGTGGGCAAGGTGGTAGGTAGGCACACTGGTGGAAATCCACGGAGAGTGTCTACAGAGGCAGGCACACAGGATACCCGTGTGCATGCATACGGACACGCTCGCAACCGTGCAGCTGAAGCTGAGCACACGGAGGGGGTTGACAGTGCGAGCCAATGCCAGGCACAGATGCGCTCGTGCGTGTTGGAGGCCACGTGTGACGGCTGTGGTGTGTGCGGTGGAGCGGGAGCGTCGTGTGCTGCCATGTGCGACGATGAAGGTAGGTATAAATCAATCAGGCTGTTTGTGTTCTATTTATAATCAGCCTGTTTGTGTTCTATTTTTAAATCAGTCTGTTTGTGTTCAATTTATAAATCAGTCTGTTTGTGTTCTATTTATATATCAGTATGTTTGTGTTCTATTATAGGGTAGATCGGTATTTGTGAGGGCTTGGCCATGAGGTGTGTGGTTATCCTGGCCAGTGCCAGGCCGAGATTTGCGCCTGTGTGCTTGAGGTTACGCCTGTCCGCTCTGGTCTGTGCGTAAAGCAAGCGCTTTGTGGTTTAATGTCTGCGGCAATGTAGGTAGTATTTGCCGAAGCTGTCGTATTGTAGTAAATAGACACGTGCATATATATATGTGTGTGTACGTATTGTAGTGAACCTGTACGGAGGTAGGTAGGATTGTGGGCTGTATGTGGGTACGTACAGTGTGTATACTTATACACATGTACATCGTTTGAGCTATGATGTATATGCATACACACGATATATATATATGATATACATAGCTGTTTTCATTTCCAGACTTCGCGGCATGGGTGTGCGGAGGTTGGCACAAGCTGCATATTGTAGTTGTCACGTCTCTCATTCGAAGATATGCTACTTGCTTCAGTTGTAGATACTGTGCCATTTTTTTTTACTACGCCAAATACTACTCATCAGAACACCTATTATATATATATATATATATTTATATATATATGTCAATACATATATATATATTTATATAAATAGTTTATATATAT